AGCCAGATAGGTAGGAGGGGGCTAGTCCCACATCCATGTGTGGTGGTTAAAAATCCAGAGAGCTATTTCACATGCAGAGGTCCCCTTTCGGAGCAACCCCTCACCAGGCCACCCAGCCCAGGGTTCTAGTATTAGGAAAAGAAGTCACCGTAACTTCTGGCTGTGAAAACCAGCAAAGACTGTGATTGAGTGAGAAAATAGGCTGCTGTAGTCCCAAATGTTCCTCTTAAAGGGCCCACACACATATTCACTGAGAGACTCACTCACTCTGAACTCCAGCACTGGGGCAGCAGTTCAAGGTACCAGGGAGAGATGTGCAGGAAGTGAATTGTCTGGCTTCAGGACAAGAGCTGTAGGGGTAGCTTTCTCCCAGACAGAGTTCCTTTGTTGAGCCCTTGCCCAACATAGGCTGCACACACTGATGGGTGCCATATCTGTTTGAGTCTCCATCAACCTGGCTGACAACATTTGCCTCATCCTGATGAGTCCCTGAGACCCCAACATTCCCAAATTTGGGGCCCACTCAAGTAAATTCCAATGGCTTTTCTATACAAATGGCCTATCTTGGCTCGTGCTCGTCTTTCCTAAAATCTCTCAAAGGTATACAACCCCAAACAGCAGCCTCTTATCCTATCTAATAATGAGGGAATATGCTAATTGACCCTCACACTGTCACAAAGATGGCAGCACCCACAGTCAAGGAGGAAATATGGTAATTCAATGCCCCACCCTCAAAGATGGCAGCACCCACAGCCACAAGATGACCAGCACTGGAGAGCAGTTGTGGGTGATCAGGCCAGTAAGGGAAGGTTGCTGGGGGTGACCAGGCTTGCAGGGAAGGGCAGTTGGGGGTGACCAGGCTGGCAGGGGAGGGCAGTTGGGGGCGATCGGGCCGGCAGGGGAGCAGTTATGGGTCGATCAGGCCAGCAGGGGAGTGGTTAGGTGGTGATCAGGCTGGCAGGCAGGCGACGGGTTGGGAGCCAGCAGTACCGGATTGTGAGAGGGATGTCCGACTGCAGGTAGTCAGACATCCCATGAGGGGTCCCAGATTGGAGAGCGTGCAGGCTGGGCTGAGGGACACCCCCCTCCACAGTGCATGAATTTCATGCACTGGGCCTCTAGTCCTCTTAATAAACAGCTCCAAGCCCAGCACTAGAGGCAGTCAACCTCAGTTCACAGCTTAGCATCCTCCAGGGACCTCCATGCCAATCATAAGTGGGAAACATCCTCAGGTCACTCTTTAGCTCAAACCAAGTGGTCGTGGGCAGGTGCAGGCAGCAGCTGACCTTGGCCTGCCCCAGAACCCTTTCCAAAAGGTCCAGAACCGATACACCTGGTGGCCAGCTTCAGACCACACCAGTGCACTGCACAAACAATTCTACCAACCACACACTAAAAGGGTAGTCTCAGCCAGCACTAGAGCCCCATTAAGATGAATCTTAGTAAGGTCAGCCTCTGCACAACAGCTCCTTAACTGCCAATAATCACAACCAATCACCTGAGGTTCAATCCCTCCCATTAAGGTGCCAACCTCAATCAAAGCGGGCACACATAACTCATATAGAAGAAACACATGGAGGATCCTAATCAGGTGACCATGAAGACTGTGCTGCTGGGCCTCATTGGACACCTAACACATAAGGCCACTTTACCAAGACTGAGAGATGTAGCTGCTCTGCCTAATACATAGAAACAATCACAGGAAGGCAATCAGAACAAGGAGTCAAAGAAACATATCCCAAATGAAAGAACCTATTAAAACTCTAGGAAAAGAACTAAATAAAACTGAAGCAAGCAATCTTCCAGATATAGAGATCAAAACACTGGTTATAAGAATGATCAGCGAATTTAGGGAAAGAAGAGAGGAACTTAGAACTTCAACAAAGAGATAAAACACATAAAAAAGAAGAGAGAAAACATAAAAAGGAACCCTCATAAATGAAGATTACAAAAAAGGAAATGAATACATTAGATGGAATCAATAGTAGATTAGATGAAGTGGAGGATCAAATTAGCAATTTGGAATACAAGGTAGGGAAAAACAGGCACTTGCAATAGCAAAAAGAAAAAAAAGAAAGGAAACACACACAAGAAGAATAAAAAAATTAGGATGGTCTGAGGAAACTTGGACAATGTCAAGCATAACAACATTCTTATCACAGAGGTATCAGAGAAGAGAGGGAGCAACAGACTGATAAATATTCGAAGAAATGATGACAGAAAACTTCCCTAAACTGGTGAAGAAAATAGACATACAAGTCCAAGAAGTACAAAGAGTCCTTAAGAAGATGAGCCCAAAGAGGCCAACACCAAGACACATACATTAAATGCCAAATATTAAAGACAAAGAGAATCTTAAAACCAGCAAGACAAAGGCAGGTAGTTACTTACAAGGGAGATCCCATAAGACTTTCAGCTGAGTTTTCAACAAAAATTTTGCAGGCCAGAAAGGACTGGTAAGAAATATTCAAAGTGATGAAAAGAAAGGACCTACAATCAAGATTACTCTAACCATAAGGCTATCATTTAGAATCAAAGATAAAGAGCTTCCCAGACAAGACGAAGTTGAAGGACTTCAACAATAAGCCAGTATTATAAGAAATGTTAAACGGACTTCATTAAGAAGGAAATAAATAAATATTTATAATAAATGGCAATAACTATACATATCTATCAACAATTACTTTAAATGTAAATGTATTAAATGCTCCCATCAAAAGGCATGGGGTGGCTGACTGGCTGACCAAACAAGACCATTGCATATGTTGCCTACAAGTAAATCACTTCAGATCAAAAGACACACACAGATTGAAACGTAAAAGGAGGGTCCAACCGGTGTGGCTCAGTAGTTGAGCATGGACCCATGAACCAAATATTCATGGTTTGATTCTTGGTAAGGGCACATGACTGGGTTGAAGGCTCGATCCCCACCCAGTCGGGTGCATGCAGGAGGCAGTCAATAGGAGATTCTCTCTCATCATTAATGTTTCTATCTCTTTCTCCCTTTTCCTTCCTCTCTCTGAAATCAATTTAAAAAATATGTTAGAAAAAAAAGAAAGAAAAGTAAAGGAATGGAAAAAGGTATTTCATGAAATGAAAACAAGCAAAACTGAAGTAGCAATACTTATACCAGGCAAAACAAACTTTAAAACAAAGACTATAACAAGAGACAAGAAAGGACACAGCATTTCCTTTTCTGGGTATTTTATCTGAATTAATCCCAAAACGAATTTGAAAACACATATGCACACATATTTTCACTGCTACATTATTTATAATTGGCAAGATAAGGAAGCTACATCAATGTCCATCAACAGATGCATGAATAAAGAAGAACTACATAACCCGCCTAACCAGTTTGGCTCAATGGATAGAGTGTTGGCCTGCGGACTCAATGGTCCCAGGTTCAATTCCAGTCAAGGGCATGTACCTTGGTTGTGGGCACATACCCAATAGGGAGTGTGCAGGAGGCAGCTGATCGATGTTTCTCTCTCGTCGATGTTTCTAACTCTCTATCCCTCTCCCTTCCTCTCTGTAAAAAAAACAACAATAAAATATATTAAAAAAAGGAAAGAAAGAAAAAAAAGAAATGTTTAAAAAAAGAAGAACTACATAGAACATTGCTTAGCCATAAAAAATAACAAAATTTTCCCTTCAGCAACAACAGGAATGATGTATCTCGGGGCATTATGCTAAGTGAAATAAGTCAGAGAAAGACAATGCATCACATCCAACACTATGTGCATTCTTACATGTGCTTATGTTAGGTAGTAGGCCCTGTTTAATTATTCGAATTTCATTCTTCACTTACAACTCATGTTCCATTGTCCACAAATTCACATAAAACTTTTTTGTTATAACAGCTAATATTTACCTAATGCCTATTGTTCTAATAACTTTATTAGTGTATTATCTCATTTTAACATCCCTCCCTGAAAAATATCTTTGATAAAATGTATCCCATTGAAAAGGGGGTAGGGGATTGAAGCTTAGGAATATTTGGTAACTTGGTCAAAATTACAGAGCCACCCATGGCAGGGCTAGTACTCAAACCCAGAACTGTACTGTTAACAAAATGACTTCCTTTCCACTATACAATGAGGCATCTCTAGGGTAGAAGACAAGCGTTTTTCTATATACAATATTATTTAACTCTTTTGTGTGTGAATGTTTTTATTTTCTATTTTCCATCACCATTTACCCCCTCCATGCATTTTCCACCTTCTCTATCCCTGCCCCCTCCATCACCACACTGCTGTCTATGCCCATGAGTTCTCTCTCTCTTTCTTTTTTGCTCAATCCTCCACCCACCCCCACACCTCCACTCCAATGGTAAATGCCTGGTGTTCGTTTGGATAATTTCAATCATTATGATCAACGACTCACATTTCTACGTCAAGGCAATTCCAAAAAATAGTATTTGATCCACGGAAAATAAAATGTCATGGGACCCAGGGCCAGAATTATGATGCTTGACACAAAGAAATTGATGCTCTGGAAGTTTAAATGACGTTTCCAGGGAACCACACTGACCAGTCAATACAGCTGGGACAGATACCCAGATATTCAGATTCCTACCCCAGGCCTCATGTTACACACACACACACACTCTCATACACACACATATACAGACACGCACACGCACACACACACCAGGCACAGGAGAAGACTGTAACTGACTAGAATCAACTCTTGAGAAACATATTAATAGATTAAGAAATGCTGAAAAAAGTAAAAAAAAAAAACAACAACAGTATTAGTTGGGTAGGACTGGTCAGAATAAGCGTCTTGAGGTGGAAGAACTAATGGAAGGTAACAGGGTGGCATTCAAACTAGAGGAAGAAAAGGCAGAGAGAACTCAGTCAGAAAGATTTGCAGGACACTCGATCCACTAACATTCGCTGTGACCCCCTGAGAAAAGCAACTCACACCTTTTAAAATCAGATACAGCCGTGAACTTAGACAATGGCGTTGGGCTGAAACTACCCCGTATTTCTCACCAGAACTGAGGAGCTCCTGGACCAAGGGAATATCGCCTGTGGTCAACGCTTTCTTAAACGTTTCATTCTTGTCTTCAGTGGGTAATGGTCCTTTTAATTTCTAAAAAAGCAGACAGTTTTAAAAAAACAATTATACACGTTTTCATTTCCACTGTAACCGGTAAATCGTTTTGAAAGAGGGAGGGGGGGGGAAGGGACGGTGGTGGTGGGCGACACCCGAAGTTTGCAAAGAATTCGTGTCTCAAATGACCTCGAAAGGGGCCCGGGTAATGGCGGGTCCGAGCCCACGGGACAAGCTACCACGTGGACAACCCATCGAGGCGCCGGCGATGGAAAGCACAGTAAGGAAACCAGACCAACACGCTGCGGGTTTCTCTCCAACCCCAGCGCCTGTACTCCCACTGGAGAAACGAAGGAGGAAGGGCAAACAGGGGAGGAAGGAAGAGGGTCCCAGGAGGCCGGGTCTTCCAGGGCCGGGGAGGCAGACCTCGGCGCGGAGAAGAAACAGCCTCCCCTGCTACTGAGAGGCCCGGTCGAGATACCCAATCTCCCAGCCGTCATCCTCGCTCTCGCTTCTCTCGCCTCCACCAGCCACCGCCAGGCCACGGAACACGCTGGAGGCCTTGTCCGCCCATGGCCGCCGGCCCCTCCTTTCCGCCCGGCCCGCGTGCGACCCTCCCCCTGCGCTGGCTCCGCCTGCGCCTGAGCCTGTGCCTGAGCCTGAGCCTGCGCAGTGCCGGTTTACCCCGGGAAGGCGGGACCAGCCGGGGCCTGGGGCTCCTGGGCGCTGGTGCGCAGGCGCGTGTCCTCGCGCAGCCGCCCTCATCCCTCTGGGCGGCCCGTGGCTATGAGATGGCACATGGCACAGGTGGGGCTGGCAGCGTTTGAAGAAGTCCTTGGGCTTTCAGGGTTGCCCCACTTGTCGCTGGGGCGGAATTGGGATTTGTACGCCAAGGTATGCCTATGCTTTCTCCCCTTCAGCCGCCCCCGTCTCCCACCCGCCTCCAAACCCACCGCCGGACATGCTACCCTTGGAGAGGGGAGCATATTATCCCTAAGGAGCACCACCCATGCAGGCAAGAAGCCGGGAGACACATGGGCGCTGGCGAACGAGCCAGGAGAATTCCTCCCTTTAAATGTCATGGGGTTTGCCCTAACCGGTTGGCTCAGTGAATAGAGCGTCGGCCTGGGGACTGAAGGGTCCCGGGTTCAGTTCCATTCAGGGGCATGTACCTTGGTTGCAGGCACATCCCCAGTGTGGGATGTGCAAGAGGCAGCTGATCGATGTTTCTCTCTCGTCGATGTTTCTAACTCTTTATCCCTCTCCCTTTCTCTCTGTAAAAAATCAATAAAATATATTTAAAAAAATAAAAATAAACTTCATGCGATCAGATGTCGTTGTAGATTCAGAAATATAAGAGCATCAAAACGCTTTCCAGCCCTACCTGGTTTGGCTCAGTGGATGGAGTGTCAGCTTGCGGACTGAAGGGTCAAAGTTCGATTCCAGCCAAGGACACATGCCCGGGTTGCGGGCTCAATCCCCAGCAGGGGGCATGCAGGAGGCAGCCTATCAATGATTCTCATCATTGATGTTTCTATCTCTCTCTCCCTTTCCATTCCTCTCTGAAATCAATAAAAATATAGTTAAAACAAAAAAAATCCCCACGCTTTCCCACCTAGAGAGTGTAAACCCACTAAAGGAAAAATTCAGTCAAGGAAGGAAGGGGAGAGAGTGGACCAAGAGCTGGGAAGAAGAAATTATTTAAATGTTCAGAGAGCAAGTCAATAATACAAACAGCTCCAGGTGAAGGCAGCCCAGACCCACGTTTCCGCGGCTGACCTCCACAAGAAATGCCACAGAAATGTAGATCCACCGAGGAATAGCACGGACTATCACCCGAGGCTGATTGAAAAGGAAGGTAACCATGTGCTATTCTTTGAAAGTTTTGCAATATTTTTTTTTCCTTAAGGAATCTTTGATGTAAGAGTTTGGAGTTATTTACTTCAGAGATTTTCAGAGATAACTGTTTTTAGGTAGTTTGGTACTTTGGGGGTCATGCCTCTCTTTCTAATGCACCCATTCAATAAGCGTTATGGATAACTGAACACGGCTAGCTTTGGGGAGACAACATCACAGACAAAAAAAGCTGTCTCTTGGAGCTCACAAGTGTTTTTGTTTGTTAATCCTCATCTGAGGATATGTTTTTATTGATTTGAGAGAGAGAAACACACATTGATGTAAGAGAAACATTGATCTGTTGCTTGCCTCTATTTTAATTCTTTTTCTGCAATCTTGTTCTTGTTTATTTTGTGTGTGTGTTTGTTTTGTTTTGTTTTTTCATTTGCAACATATTCCTTTATCTGCCTGTGTATGTTCCTATGTATGTTTCTATGTATTGGGTAGAGTTGCTGGTTGAGTGGCCTAATGTAGTAAGTGTCCTGTAGGGCCCAGTGGCCCACTCAGACTTCTCAGTCACCTGAACGAGGTGCTTCAGGGGTGTATGCACCCTCCTGCTGTAGCTGAGCCTTGATTTCTGTTGGTACATCACTGGGAGGGACTTATCCTCAGGTCAGTTGGCTTGAGGACTGCCCAAGATGGCAGCAGAGGAGCTGCTGTGCAGGGGCCAACTCCACTTCAGAGGGGTTCCACTGCCCACTGAGTTCACCCCTTAAGTGTGTCATTTGTGGGGGTGCTTGGGTGGTGCTCTGGTGTGATCTGAAGCTGTCTACAGGATGCGCTGGCTCTGGGACCTTTCAGTAGGTGCAGACCGGGATCATTTGCCACGAGTGCCCTGTTCCGCAGGAGCTACAGAGAGATCTACAGATGGCTGTTACCTGTGCTGGGTTTGGAGATGCCTGGGAAATGCCAAGCTGCAAACCATGACCAGCTGCTATTGGTGCTGGGCCTGGGGCCACTTAGCAAGAGGTATGGAGCATGCTGAGGACAGATGTTACTTGTTGGGGGTTTGTGAACCTTTGAGAAATTCTAGGAAAGTTTGCTGCATGAGCCAAGACAGACCATTTGTATGGAGGAGCCACTGGAAAGTTCGGTGGGTCCAAAAGTTGGTTGTGGCAGGGTCTCAGGGAATCTCCAGAGTGGGGCAAACAGTGTTAGCTAGATGAATGGAGTCTCAGACAAGGCACCTTCTCTGTGGGGTGAAGGCTCAGCAAAGGAACAATGGTCTCTGCCAGCACTTCTGTCTTGCAGAAAGCTGCCCCGCCAATCCTTCCCCTAAAGCCTTTAGAGCTATTACTCCACACACACTGGAGCTCAGAACAAGTGAGTTCAAGTAACACTGGGCATGGGCCATTTAAGAGGAAAACCTGGGACTCCTGAAGCCCTCCATTTCAATCAGTCACAATTCCTGCTGGTTTTCAAAACCAGAAATTATGGGCACTTCTCTTCATGGCACTGGAACCCTGGCCTGGGGGGCCTGGTGTGGGACTAGGACTCCTTGCTCCTCAGCTCCTCAGGAGGAATCTCCAATGATGAAATATCCCTCCCGATTTTTTCCTGCCACACATGGATGTGGGACCAGCAACTTTTGCTTCTGTGCCCCTCCTGCTAGTCTTTATGTGCCTTCTTCTGCGTATCCTTAGTTTTAGGACTTCTGTTCGTCTACATTTCAGGTGCTTCTGATGTGGTTGTAGGAGACTGTGAGCACTGCATTTACCTACTCTGCCAACTTCACCAGAACCTGAAATGTTTTTAAACTAACAAAGACATGTTCTGCTGTGCTTGTGTGTGTGTGTATTTAAAGACACTAAAACTCTTCTGTTTGTTTTTTGTTATTGTTTTATTATCCTTGCCCGAGAATATGCTGTTTTTTATTGATCTTAGAGAGAAAGGAAGGGAGATAGAAACATTGATCATTTGCCACACATACACACACACACACACACACACACACACACACACACACACACACACGCAGGCACCCCACCCTCAGCTTAGGTATGTACTCTCACTTGCAATTGAACAAACAAGCTTCTGGTGTACAGCAGGACGATACTTTAACCAACTGAGCCATCCAGCCAGGACAAGAAGGTTGTATTTTGTTTTGTTTTGAGCATCTGGCTAAGTAGTGGTGCCATTTTCTAAAAGGGAGAAGACTAGAGGATAAACTTGAAGATAAAAGGAGCATCTCAAAATTAACATTCAAAACAAAATACTGAAGTGTAGCTGTCAAGTGGTTAGTTGGATATTCAAATATGCATCTCAGGAGAAAGGCTGGAGTTAAGAGATAGAAATATGTGACTTATTCATTTAATTGAATATGTAATTGATTTTTCAAACTTGGGATTTACTCAGAAAAAAATATTTGTAAGTACAGATGCTCTAGACTAAATGTTTCTAATCTCCCCCTCACCCCCCCGCCAAAAAAAATTTTATATGCTGAAACCTAATCCCCAAAATGATGGTTTGTGGAGGAGGAAACTTTGGAAGCTGGTTAGGTCATGGGGAAGGGCATAACCCTCATGAATGGGATTAGTGCCCTCATGACAGAAACTCCAGAGAGCTCCCTTCTCCTCCCACTATGTAAGGACACAACAAGAAGATGCTGTATGAATCAGGAAGCAAACTCTCACCGGACACCAAATCTGCCAGCACCTTGATCTTGGGCTTCCCAGCCTCCAGAACTGTGAGAAATAAATTTTTGTTACTCGCTGAAACTGGTTTGGCTCAGTGGATAGAGCGTCGGCCTGTAGACTGAAAGGTCCCAGGTCAAGGGCATGAACCTTTGTTGCGGGCACATCCCCAGTAGGGGATGTGCAGGAGGCAGCTGATTGGTGTTTCTTTCTCATCGATGTTTCTTACTCTCTATCTCTCTCCCTTTCTCTCTATAAAAAATCAATAAAATATATTTTAAAAAATTTTGTTACTTATAAAACACCCAGTGTGTTTATTCTCTTATAGCAGCCCAAGCAGACTATGGTAATAGATAAGATTATTCTAAAATATATGTGGAAAGGCAAAGAACCTAGATAGCTAAAACAATTTTGAGAAAGAAGAATCAATTAGGAGAAATTCCTCTACTTGATCTAAAAACCTACTGTGTAACTGTAGTAATCAGACTGGATTGTGTTAGAGAAGGGATAGATACATAGATTAATGGAACAGAATAGAGAGCCTAGAAGTAAGACCAAATGATTTTGACAAAGATGAAAGAGCAATTCATTGAAGGAAGGATAATCGTCAACAAATGATGCTAGACCAACTCAATATTCATAGATTTAAAAAAGAATCTATCTAACCTTCCATTCTTTTCAAAAATTAACTCAAAATGTATCATAGGTGTACACAATGTTCCCAGCAGCATTATTTCTATTAGCCAAAAAGTAGAAACAACCCAAAAGTCCATCAGCTGATGAATGGATAAACAAAAGGTGGCATATCCATACCATTTATATTAGTTTCCTAGGACTACCATAAGAAATTACTACAAGCCAGATGGCTTTTAACCATAGGAATATATTCTCTCACCATTCTGGAGTCTGAAATCACAATGTCCTAGTAAACAGCACCATGTACCCTCTGAAAATTCTACAGGAGGATACTTTCTTTCCTTTTGGTGGTATCTGACAACCCTTGGCATTTCTTACCTCATATATACATCATTTTAATCTCTGCCTCTCTTTTTAG